GGGTGGTGGAATGAATCCTCTCACGACTATGCGAATAAGCTTGCTGCTGGCTTAACGCCATTTGAAGGAGCTCTCTAGCCCGTAGTCCGTCAATCGCAACTGGTGACTCGCCGTCGGTCGGGAGGGCTGCCAATCGTGAAGCGGCGGCCACAATGTTGTCCAACGGGTTGGAGTAATGCCCCGGGGGCGTCGGAACATACTGTGGCACAATGTTGTTCTGACGAGGCGGGTCCATCGTGCGCGGCTGAACCGGCGCTCCAGTTCCCGGCGCCTCCGTCCGGTTTAATACCGGTTGGTTACTAGTTCCTGCTCCTGGCGTGTTGAAGAGATCTCTTGGCTCATAACTCGGCGGGAGATGCAACCGGAATTTTCTTCTCATGACTTCCTCTGAGGCATTCTGATCCAGCCTAAGCCGGTAGGCCTGAGCCTCCAACTCGGCCCGTTCTATAGCCATCCTAGCGTTCTCTGCTGCTAGGTCTACTTTAGCCAGAGTTATCTGATCTTTCACCTTTGCGATCTCCGCATTGTGCTGATCCCGGGCCGCTGCGTCCACATCTGCGGCCATCAATGTTTCCAAAGTGTCGAACAAGTTAGACAGAACTTGAGCCGGAGGTGGCGCAGAGCCCCCTGCTCCTGTCGGCATTGCTGTTGCCGAACCAGAGAGCATTGCCGCGGCGGTTGATGAGTGGGGTGCTGATTGTGTACCGGCCATAAAGATAGCGACCTGGTTTGGCAGATCAAGGGGGTCCGGAATACTGTTGCCATCGGAACATCCGCTAATCCAGCCGTCTTGCAACTGATATAGCAATTCGGTTTCTCCAGTTGAAGACTCGTCATCAGAGCAGACAACGGTTTCTCCATCAGATGCCGGTCCTTCCTCGTATTCTGCTCCATGGATGACACCTACAAAAACATGCCTTGCTGCGGGCTGAACCGGGGGAGAGCTTGCATGCTAAGCCGTCTCGATGATGTCGGCGCAGGTGTCCGGCTCAGGGCCCGATTCGCCGATCTTGCCGATGAAGATGTGAATCCCACCAAAGGGGACCCGGTACCCGTATTCGATTGAACCGGCCTCGAGGCCCCATCCTGCGTCGTCGATGTAGAGCTTGGCGCGACGACTTCGTCATCCGGCCCACAGTGTATCCCTTGAGTCCATCAAAGATGCCCTTCAAGAACTCGAAACCATCGTGCGACTGCCCCACAGTGGGCGCCAACTGTCGTGGGTTTGGCACGGCAGATGTCCTCGTGAAAGGACTTAGTCGTGGAGCCATCTCTACGGGTTAGCTTAAAGGGGTTAAGCCGGACAAGGGGGACACGAGGGGTTTTATACTAGTTCGGCCCCTTCAATGAAGGTAAAAGCCTACGTCTAGTTGTGATTGGTATTGCTAGGGTTTCAATGACCAGGGAGCGAATCCGCTTTGCCTGGCTCTCGAGTGGTTGTCTGTTGTCCTCAAACCGCGGCTGGGTCGTCCCTTTATATACATAGGTTGACACCCGCCGGTTTACAGAGTCCCGAGGCCGGGTCATAGAGGTGTCCGGCTCGGTCTCTATTCCTCTAACTTACAATACAAGTTTATATGATAAAGTCGGTTCACATCTACAGGCTTTAACCCGCCTTTGGGCCTTGGGTCTTCGTAAAGCGCCACCATCTTCATATCTTCATGGGCTTCTATCTTCATGGAGCTAACCCGGCCACTCCTAGCCGGTTTACCTCCAGTAACCATATCCCCAACAGACAAGTAAAAAAGCATCACCAGAGGACTGATAGCGCTGACGAAGAAGAGTCCACATCCCAAAGACAGTACTGAGGTAGAACATTGGAAGTGAGGACAGCCACAACACGACCATCATCATCACACCACTGAGTGTAAGCAGTCAGATCATCACGATAAACAGAAAGAGTATTCTAATAATCCAAGACCTGCTGATCATAAGCAGCAACCGTATCATCAATAGCAATCCTGGCAGCAGCCCTATCAGCATCAGAAGCATCTGCAACAAGAGTCGGTGGCCTCGGCAGTGGGGTAGGAACCGCAGGAGGAATTGGGCGCGGAGGACACGGGATCTCGCGGAATGAAGACCGCAAAGATGAATGCCATGCATGTGAATGCGCATAAAGGCAACGAACTCAGTATAGTTATCCCCATCAAATATCACACGAGATGGTGACATAGCCCGATGGCCAAGGTTTTCTTCTGATTTTCTTTTTCATGCAAGAGAGAGGTGGAGGCAGGCGCTTTATTTGGGAAAAAAATTGGTGGGATGTCTCTTGATTGATGGATGTGGATGGGTCGACGGGGTAACGAAACGAAATGACGTACTCCCTCCGTCACGGTTTAGAAGGCGCAGTTAAATTTGCGTGCGTTTCCATAATAGACAAGGTTTAGGACGCATTGCATTTATTTCTAGTAGCTAATTAGTACTCCGATATACTATTTTTATATGCATGCGTAGTGTGAATGCTATTTTTTAGCCCGTCTCATAACCAATAGATAACCACCTAGGTCCTAGAGAATTTCCAAGTGCGCCTTCTAAACCGTGACGGAGGTAGTACCAATTTCTCCTTTAAAAGTAGAGATTGAATACATGCAATTATACTTGTTAGAAAGGCAGCGTGTTGAACAATTGCATGAATTTTTTCCAAAAAAAAAAGAATCCATGCAATTGTACTGGTCAGAGAGGCAGCGTGTTGGACACTTTGACCAGTCGTCCATTTGGTGCCGATTCGCCAAACACATCGCATGTGAGGGGTAAAAGCTAGCTGTATTAACTCTGTATTGTATTATATGCAACTTATTCTTGATGAGATCCATGTTTGGTCTTCTTCTCTGACTAGTTAGATACCACTCCATTACACTGGGAACGTATCTGGTGCACCAAGGTAATTAGTGCTACCGGTGCACCGGACTACGTTGCATGTTTAAAATTGTTCAAAAAAGTCTGAAAAAGAAATTTGTGTATCGATACAACATCAATGTATCTTGTCACAAAATTTCAAATCAAAAATCAAAACAATGGTCAAGATACAAAAATGACAAATTTGATGTCAGTGTGCTAATGGGTCAAAACTAAAGCCCAACTTGTGTTATGTACTATTCAGTGTCAAATTTGTTATTTTTGTATCTCGTGAAATGTTTCGAATATTGATCTAAATTTGTGTGACAACATACATTCATGTTGTGTCAATGCACTAATTTTTTTCAGAATTTTTTTGAACATTTTTAAATATGTAGCGGACAACCAGTGCACCGGTAGCATCAATTGTCTTGGTGCACCAGATACATCCCCCGTTATACTAGGAGTATGCTGCAATGCTTAGGAGTAGGTCCAAGTGCATTAGTTAAGCGTACAAATATGCAGCATGGGACGGAGACGGAGGATGGAAGTGGACACGCATAGCATCAAAGCTACACACACAGACACAGCCGACAGGATGAGGATCCACTCACCCGCTCTGCTCGTCCTCCTCCTCTGCTCTCTCCTCGCCGGCGCGGCCAACGCCGAGCCCTCTCCGGAACCAACGTACAAGGACTGCCACCCAGGCGACAAGGCGGCGCTGCTCGCCGTCAAGGCCGCCTTCGGGGAGGCCTATGACTTCGCGTCCTGGAAGCCCGACAACTCCTGCTGCGACTGGTAGGACGTCACCTGCGACCGCTTCACCGGCCGTGTCGTCGGCCTCGCCATCTTCCAGGACGCCAACCTCACGGGCACCATCCCCACCGCCCTTGCCGGCCTCCTCCACCTGGAGGACCTCACCCTGCGCCACCTCCCGGGGCTCTCGGGCCCCATACCGCTGGCCATCGGCAAGCTCTCCAACCTCTCCAGCCTCCGCATCTCCTGGACGGCCGTGTCCGGCCCAATGCCGTCCTTCCTGGGCGCGCTCAAGAAGCTCAATTTCCTCGATCTCTCCTTCAACTCTCTAAGCGGTTGCTGGGGACCATCCCCAATCTGCGCGGCATCAACCTCAGCCGCAACCGCCTCACCGGCGACATCCCCCCGATGTTCCTCAGCAAGTCTCCGCACCAGGACGTTTACCTCTGGCTGTCGCACAACAACCTCACTGGGCCCATCCCGGCAGACTTCGGCGCCGTGAATTTCACGCACCTCGACCTGTTGCGCAACGATCGGACCGGCGACGCGTCGGGCCTCTTCGGCCGCGGGAAGGAGCTGCAGTACATCGACCTGTCCCGCAACACCTTCTATTTCGACCTCTCAGGCGTGGTGCTCCCGGAGCGGCTCTACTTCGTCGATGTGAGCCACAATGCCATCCAAGGCAGCATTCCGGCGCAGGTCGCGAGCATGTCCAACCTGAACTTCTTCAACGTCAGCTACAACAGGCTCTGCGGCCCTGTGCCCGCCGGCGGTAACATGGCGAGGTTCGATCTCTACAACTTTCAGCACAACAAGTGCCTCTGTGGTGCTCCCCTCCCTTCATGCAAGAAATAGATGGAATTATCTGGTGGGTTTGGCAGAATAATGCTATTTTCTATGTCAATCAATTCGACTAATGTCGCCCTGGAATAAGAGTTATGCAGAAATAAAGTCAAGATGGCTATGTGTGGCGATGAAGTTGTCAGCTAGATTTAGCACTTCCTGTGTTTTAACTGTCCGACATCATGATTCATCTGGTGTATGCAAAGATCCTTGATGGTTTGACCAAAGTCAGGTTAATTTCCTTTATTTTTTTACAATAGCTATATGTAAGTTGACCAAATTTACAATTAGGATAAGTCAGTTTTATGCGAGGAGGGACGATTGGAGAAGAAGAAAGATGAAGAAGAAATAGAGAGTAAATTGCAAAAACCCACTACAATTGGGGACCCTAATTCAAAAAACAACCATGTTTTAGTTTTTTTTTCAAAAAAACCACCACAATTGTGTTGACAGTTTTCAAAAAACACTGATCACCGGATTATAGATGTTTGACAAAAAAACTGACAGCAGGGTCCCACCTGCAAGTGATGAAGTGGCAAGAAAATTTGACGCCGTCCGCATGGACCGTTAATTTGACGTAGGCCCACTTGTCACTGTATCATATCTCTCTTCATCTCTTTCTCTGGCATTACGACGAGCAGTTCGTGAGCTCCTGCATCTTCGAGGCGATCTCCGCCATGCACGGGGCCGAGGCGCGAGGCTGGCGTGACCCCGGCGGTGCAGCCGCACATTGGCGAGGCGGCGGAGCTTGATGCGATGCAGCTGCGCTCTCGAGCCGGCGTCATCTGCTGCTCCGTCCAACTTTTTATTCCAAATCCCCATCAGCTGCCGGCGTGCCGCACGGCTGTGCCGGCCTTGGGGCGGCACTGGAGAGGCGCGCGGGGTTGTGCACTTGCGGGAGGACAAGTTGCATCGACCTGCGGCTGCGGGGCAAGAGCGGGGTGGCCGTGAAACTCGGCAGCGGCGAGGCCGTACGGCGGCTTCGGGCGGCGCTAGGTACGCCGATGATGAGAGTACGGGAGGGAGAGCTGGGAGGTCGAAGAGGACGGGAAGATCACGCAGCAGACGCAGGGGGTGCAGGCGATGTACGGGGGCTCCGCCATGGTCGCCAGCGGCGGCAGCCGGAGCGCGGCGTCGGGGCAAGGTGGCTCGGCGCCGAACGGGTCGACGGGTACTTGTCTGGAAGCTACATGAGGGCATGGCAGAGCTTATGGTGGTAAGAAGAGGCGCTCGGCTAGTCGGAGTGGAGCGCATCGACGATGAGGACGCCGGTCGGAGCCGAGGAAGAACAGGACGTGAGCGTCGCGTCTGGGTCTTCCCACATTGATTCCTTCCGCGGGGAGTCTGGGCGTGCGTGCAGCCGTGCTCGAGCTGCACCACCGCGCCACCACCCGCTCGGCCGGCCGCACCCTCCGCCGCCCCGGGGCACCACCACGAGCCCCCCATGGGGAATACGACGACGGCGGCTGTGTAGACATTTTTTTCCTTTTCTTCCAATGACACCTGGACCCCACACGTCAGGTCTGTTAAGCAATATAACTTCCGTCTCTTTGGACACGTTACATGGTGGCACGTCAGCAAGATAGTGGGATCCACCTGTCAGGTTTTCACTGAATCTGCTCTAATCCAGTTATCAGTGTTTTTTGAAAATTGTCAGCACAATGATGGTGGTTTTTTGAAAAAAAATCGAAACGTGGTGGTTTTCTAAATTAGAGTCCTCAATTATGGTGGTTTTTTGCAATTTACTCAGAAATAGAAGGACAGTCGTTAGATGTTGGATCTTAATCTAAAGGCCCAGAAAACCGACTTCCCCAAAATTAATTTTCAGACGACTTACATATAGTCGGCCCTTTTTCCCGAGGAAATAGTATAGATTTCACCTCTCAACTTCCGTTGAACTACACATTTCAATTCTTCTATACTTCTCCGATACTTTAGACCTTCAACTCGCACCTAGCAGTGTTTTTGTGCAATCATGGCCCCTTAGATGGTTTTTATCGCCCTCTGATCAAAATCGAACATTAATCTAGTCGATAGTGACATACTCAGACCCTTCTTTCCAAATGAGAACCATATTCTTTTTTTCCTGCAAAAGAAATGAAAACCATTTTACACAGAAGTGCCATCGTCAATACACATTTCACTATTATTTTATCATGAGACTACAAACAAGGTGATAAGTTTACCAAAATGACTAAGAAGATATGTACAAGTGCCCGCTTCCTTCCCTCTTTTCCCAAATGCACGCAACCTTGATCAATCCTTTCTATGGTTGTTTTTTTTTGCGGGGAAATACTTTGTATTACTCAAATAGTAGGATTACACTCAACATGACATTGTTCGACGACCTCATCAGGTCCTGATGAGTTATTTATCCCAAACTACCACATTTAAGGCTAGGGTAACAACTTGATATCACATTTAAGACAGGGCACAAGAAACCGCCAATTTTGTGTCTAACAAGTAACACAGAGCACCGATAGTCGGATAACCTCGCGAAAACAGCCAAACTGACCGGTTGGGCCCACCTGTAAGGCTGACGTGGCATGCCCATGTGGAAATTTTGCTGACTTGGACGAGGGTTCCACATGTCAATAACTGAAGTGTTTTCTTCATCTTTTCTCTTGTATTTCTTTCTCTTTCTCCCTGTGGGCATTTAACCGAACAGGTTGTGAGCGCTGAACCATGGACATCACCGGCGCCGCCACCACAGAGGACGTGCGCAGCGGCAATGCTAGGCCAGGTCATCTCGCCGGGAGACCAGCTCGCGTCTGCGGGCCGCGTTGTAGAAGTGGCTGCCCGTCGGAGGGGACGCGGACATGGCTGGCGCGGGATCTCGCCGGAGCTCTGCCTGCGGCCCCACGCGGTGCGGACATCAACACAAATGCGCTGCAAATCCCTGGTTCGCCGTCAATGGCGATGCGGCAGGGAACAAAGGGAGGAGGCAAGAAGGCATCGAGCGGAACCACCAGCGGCAGCAGGCCGCGCGGCTGCTCTGCTCCCCCTGCCATGCGACCCCGCCTCGTTGCTCCCAGTCACGAGCGCTGCTGTCGTCTTCCGGCGCTGTCGCGGAGCTCCACGCCGCCAACACCATCCGCCGCCAACGTTCAGCAATCAGAGCGCCGCCGCCATGCGCCTGCCCTCCTTTTTCCTCTTCTGGCCAAGTAGGGCGGGCGACGAGGACGAGCACCTCTTCACCACCAGAGCGTGGTGGCCTGCACTGCTCCTGGGCGCCGCCGGCGAGCTCCACTCCACCTTCCCTGCCGCTCCAATCCTCCGCGTGACCTGTTGAAGAGATGAGGAGGAAGAAGGCAATGTGTGGATGACATGTGGGACCCTCGTCCAAGTCAGCAAAATTTCCACATAGGCATGCCACGTCAGCCTTACAGGTGGGCCCAACCTGTCAGTTTGGCTGTTTTCGTGAGGTTATCCGACTATCGGTGCTCTGTGTTACTCGTTAGGCACAAAATTGGTGGTTTTCTTGTGCCCTGCCTCAAATGTGGTATCAAATTGTTACCATAGCCTCAAGTGTGGTGGTTTTGGGTAAATAACTCGGTCCTGATCCTTTCTATGGTTATTGATGATAGCGCTAACCCTATCAATTACATTCGATCCTTCCTCGGCACATTTACCCTCCTATTCTTCATCAAGTAGAGAAGTAGTTTTCTGGCTCTTGTCGCTTGATTTGTGCTTCGCCCACTCAACGGAGCACTGCAAACTACTTGTCTATTTGCACAACATAGAGGCCAAAGTACAGAAGAAATGATGTTGAGGTCTGACATCACTCTAGGCGAAGACCGATTCCATCAAAAGGTGCACCAAAAAATGCCTTTGAGTTCATCTCAGCGAGAGAATGGTATAGAGGATGCTACATGGGATAGCACTATGAGGATCAATGTATTGGTTGAAAACATGAAACACGTGACTAACGCACTAAGAAAATTAGGTATTTGACTTGTGAGTGAAAAGTACTTCCTCCGTTCCGAAATAAATGACTCAACTTTATACTAACTTTAATACATACAAAATTAGTACAAAGTTGGATCATCTATTTTGGAACAAAGGGAGTAGTATTTACCAGTCAACACCATGAGTCGTTTGATCTTTGTTGGGAGGTCAAAAGACAGAGAAAGCGACGTGTCACCCTGCCCAAGGGTCACTGGGTCATCGGCTCACCCCCACAAGAGGACTCGTCCCTCCCCAATTGCCTTCACCGGGCAAAGCTCGTCCTGATTCGGGCGGGGGGCATGGCATCCTGAGCAGTGCGTTCGAGCGAAGGGCCTCGTGTGGCGATGAACGACACAACACTCCTACTCGCGTGTGCTTGTGCTCAATTCACTGTAAACACACATGATTTTGCTCTCTGTGTAGCTCACATCTAAGGGGTTATTTGGATTTGAATCGTCTGGATTTTTTGATTCCTCCATTTTTGAATTCCTCAATCCAAATAAGCCCTTAAATATTTCATCATGAGAATTTACAACCATGTAACGTACATCCTTATTTACAAGAGTTTTTTGTCAGGCATTTTCAAACTTCAAAAGTTGATTTTTGAATTCTTCAAAATACCGGGCTCAATGGAGTCCTAGCACCAGAACGTTGAGAAGTTTCGTGGCGAGAGTCGCATAAACAAAAACGTGATATATTTGTTATTGTGGAGACCCACTCAAAATATGTTGCCACTTTTTATAACCCTAAGTCAAAGTTGGCGTCTACTAGGCTGGACCAATTGAGGGGGCCTTCCGTGGGCAATGCTCATATGCTGGCAAAATTTGGTGCCATTTCATGCACTAGTTAGGAAGTGCGGCTTGCCGCACCCAGCATCGGTGTTGTCGGGTACAGTCATGTCCATCATGTCAAATACAATAATACAATAATTGGAGCATTGCAAATATTAAAAAAAACATGATATTGGTTCAGTACAATGCCATACGCCAAACCATTATCTATGAACTGACCCAAAAAAAAATGTAGACAACTAAGATGCCTCTATTTTTAGAGAGCTCCAAACCTATCACTTCCTCGTCACATTCTAATATATCTCCACATTAGTAACTAACACCAAAAAACTAAATAAGCAAACCATTATTTGCTCTTCTAAGTTTGCAGAAAAGGACAGAAGTTCAGTTCAGGAACTAGAAATAGGAAGAAGAGAGAAATAGCAAAATATAGGGTTGCACCACTATTTGTCAAATTGTGAGCATGTACATGCACCACTATCTCTTTGATGTTGCCACTATCACATCTTGAGTTTCACATGAATGAAACACTGCTTGGTTAAGTATTCAGAAGGAAATAACAAAAATATCATTAGGTGGAGAAAATTTGAAGTACCGCTCGATCTATTTGTGCCTCAGGCATAAGATTAGCCATGCTACCTAGCTACACATATCCATGACCCAACCAATCATGTGAACGCAAGTCCTCCCCACCATCCCTTTTTGCTTCCTATTCTTCCTACCGTCTCTCACCAGGGTGGCACACCACACCAAAAAGAAGAAATAATATGGACACCTGATAAAGAGAGTAGTGAACCACATATTGTAAATCAGTAAAAAATAGTCATTTCATATCCATAAGTTTTATTTTAAAATTAACTTCTTATATTAGACCTGTTTTCATTTACTTTTAAGCAAATGTTGATGGAGGGGTTAATACTTGTTCCAGTGATGCTAATTACAGTTCAGTATACCACTCCTTCACGACATCATGCAGAAAAAAATAGTATAAACTAAACAGCATCAATGAGCACATTGTTATTTCCAAAGGAAAGTGTGCTTTGTTATAGCAAAGACCAGAGTTTCCAACAACAATGAGGGCCACAAAAGTTCCTAAGAGCATAGCCTAACTACATGTTGAACCAACATCTCACTAAATATTTGTGTCCGCTAACAATAGTGATCCGACAGCCAGGATCTGCTCCCCTGAAGATCCGACTGTCCGGAGTCGTTTGGAACGCTAATCCGACGGCCCAGATTCACACGTCCTGAGAAGGCTCTATTTCTTTCAACACTCTTAACAATGGGATGGGATGCCAGCACAAGCGCCATGTACAACCAGGACATGATTTCATGTAATTGTTTCAAAGTATTTTTACGTCCACCAAAAAAGCCCAAAATTTTTCTACACCCTCCCATGACCATGGCAATCATGCATGCAAATTCTCGTGATTTCCGATGTTCTGTGCATTTTCTATGATTTTCCTGGGGAAAACCCCTAAAACACTACCAGATGTGATAAATGTGCGTTCGATGTCCGAATTAGTTCAAATTTTGCTTGGGGGCCTTCCATGGGCATGCCCACATGTTGGCAAAATTTTCTGTCATTTCATCCATGCCATCACAAACACCATGTACAACCAAGACCGTGCGGGTCTGCCGGAGGGCAAGTCTGAAAGAAGTGTTTTTTTCACCTACACCAAAAGATCTCAAACTTTTTCCACACCCTACCATGACCATGGCAATCATGCATGCAAATTCTCGTTGATTTCTGACATTCTGTGCATTTTCTATGATCTTTCTGGGGACATAACGCAACATGCTTTCGGTGTTCGAAATCGTTCAAATTTTGCGTGGGGGCCTTCCATGGGCATGCCGACATGCTGGCAAAAATTGGTGTCATCATGCATACCAAGAAACACGCCATGTACAAGCAGGACCGTTCGGGTATCTCGGCAGGGCATGTCTCATAGCACGTTCTTTCCACCTCCACTAAATGTGCCCAAATTTTTTCCACACATTGGCATCATCTTGGTAGTTGTGCATGCCATTTTTTGTTAGTTTCCGACATTCTATGCATTTTTTGGGGTTTTCCTGGTGAAAATGGCCTATAACATTGCATGTACATGAAGCAACGTGCGTTTAATTAGTGTTCAAATTTGTTCAAATCTTGCGTGGATTAGTGCAATGGACATGCCTAGATGATGGCAAAATTTGGTGGCATTTCATGCATGTCAAGACAAACACCATGTAGAAGCACTTTCTCTCCACCTCCACGAAATGATTGCAAACTTTTTTCGACTTCCTTCAAATGGACCCAAAAATTTTCTACAGCCTTGAATCATCATGAGAAGCATCCATTCCAGGTTCCGTAGCTTTCTGACATTCCTTTCATTTTCTAAAGTTTTTCCGGCGAGAAAACCCTAAAATACTGTCTGGACGTGACGCAACGTGCATCTGTTCCCAGAATTCGTTCAAATTCTGCGTGGACTACTGGAATGGGAATGCCCACTTGCTGGCCAAATTTGGTGTCATTCTGATGATGACAAAAAATTACCACGTTCACTGAAGGTCATTCGGGTAGGAGGGAAGGGTCCGTTTGAAAGGACATTTTTTCCAACATCCTTCAAATGAACCCAAATTTTTCTACAGTCTTTTATCATCATGAGAAGCATCCATGCCAAGTTTCCTTGCTTTCTGTGATTCCATGCATTTTCTAGGGTTTTCGCTGAGAAAACCCTAAAATACTTTCAGGATGTGACACAACGTGCGTCTTTCTAGAAATTTCATGGACTACTAGAAGAGGCATGCCCACTCTCTGGCCAAATTTGGCATCATTCTGAAGATACCAAAAATTTACCATGTTCCTAGGAGGCTGTTCGAGTAGGAGGAAAGGGTCCGTCCGAAAGGATGTTTTTTCCGACATCCTTCAAATGAACCCAAATTTTTCAACAACCTTGTATCATCATGAGAAGCATCGATGCCAAGTTTTGTTGTTTTTTGACATTCCATGCATTTTCTAGGATTTTCCGGCAAGAAAACTCTAAAATACTGTCGGACGTGACGCAACGTGTGTCTGTTCCCGGAAGTCGTTCAAATATTGCGGGGACTACTGGAATGGGGCATGCCCACTTGCTGGCCAAATTTGGTGTCATTCTGAAAGACGATCAAAAATTTACCATCTTTAGAGGAGACCGTTCAAGTAGGAGGGGACATTCCGGTTCTTTTTAATTTGATCAAAAAGTCGGCGAATCGTCGGGCAATTTTTTTTCACTACTTCACATATTCCACATAATTTAATCTAATCGGCCGGCCGGCGATGTTTTCAAATATTTTAAAAGCCAATTCAAACAACCTTTAGACAAACATTACAAATTCCATTCATTTTTAGGATTTTTACAACGATTCAATGGAATTTGAACTACGACTTAAAAACCTACTCTACTTCTCGTCGTCGTCACTAACGACAAGGTCGATAGCCGCCGCGTCGCGGCTGACGTTCTAGTCCTCATCATCCTCCGCGGCCACCACAGCTGTCGCTGCCTGCGCATCTACCACGGCCGCCGCCGCGGCCTCCTCCGCCGAGCTGGGCAACGCCGCCAGCAAGCCTGGCGTGTCCTTGGGGTCGCCGTCCTGCTATAATGCCGCCTGCTCCGGCGGGATTACAACACCCGCCGGCGCAGGGGACGGGGGCACGAGCGCGGGAAGGGTCGACTTCGGCGACGGTGGGAAAGGGGATCTCCCTTCTCGTGGCCCGCTTGAATGTCGTGATCATGTTGGCACAATTTTTGCGCGTCCAAAACCGCCACCGGGTTTTGTTGTACCACCGGCCTTCAAGGTGAGCGTGCAGATCCTCTTCAGTCGTCGATGGGCCTTGCTTTGCCAAGCCTTCGACGGAGATCCGCCACGGCCGCGACTCCTTCTCCGACGGCGGGATGTAGAGGCTAACTCGGGACAGATCCTCCGTCTGGCCCAGCGTGACGCTCAATGGCCAGGATCCCGGTGCCGTGCCGTCGTCGGAGTCGCTTCTCGACATGGCTATTGCGACGCGGTCGATGCGAGAGAAGGGCGGGCGGTGGTGGGTGCAGTTGGAGACAGCTGGGCACCCGATTTATAGGCGGGCAGGGGAGCCAAAAGCGTTAATGCGGCGGCATGTGGCGGTACGGGGGTGGCGGCGTTAATGCGGTGGCATTCGACGGGACGGGGCGGGACGCCGCAGCCCAGGCGGCGGGGAAGACGGGGAGGTAGCGGGAGCGCGACATTCGAGGGTGCGGCGGTAGTAGCCGACCGCTGGCAAGCGAGGTAGTGTGGCTGTTGGTAGGGGTCAACCGGCCCGCGCGGCAGTCAAGGGGAAGCGGCGCGCGACAGTCAAGGGGAGGCGGCACGCGCGCCCTGAACGAAAACCGCCGTGTGATTGGTTCGTTGACCCTGTACCGCGGCGCGAGTTACACCACGGCGTCAAAAAACACCGCCGTATACGTATACGTACAGCGCATCCCGGCGTGGGCGGCCATGCGACGACTTTTTAAAATAAGACCATCATACCCCTGGCTATGAAGGGGTATCGGGCAATCTCAGCCTTCTTGTGTTTAGGGAGAGTCCATCGAAGCAAAAATGCATGTATTTTCCCTCTATAAATATGAAAAGATATGCGTCTTACGTATTTGTGAAAAATAGTCTTCAAACTAATAATGACATGTAGGGTGGATGCTTGCATTTTGATGAATTATTTTAGGTTGGTTTAGTTGATGATTAACTTTGATCTAATTAAGCTTAGTCAAAGTGTGACCGCCACAAACAATGCGTCTAACAAAATGACCGTCACAAATTTGACAAAATTTGACAAAAAAATTGAGTCAATGACTTGTAAACCATGTAGAAAAAAAGTATGGCTAGTCATAAACATAGCAATGAACTAAACACGTGCAATTGTACTGCTTAGAGAGGTAGCGTGCTGGACCGGTCGTCCAGCGGGTGCCGATTCGCCAAACACATCGCATGTGAGGGGTAAGCCAGCTGTATTATATGCATCTTATCCTCAGCTCTTCTCGATGGATCCATGTTTGGCTTCTTCTCTGACTCTTCAATGCTCATTTTGGTAGGTCCGAGTGCATCGATGAGTCTGTACATATAGTCCATATGCAGCATGGGACACACGAGGACGAAGACGGAGGGCGCAGCACGCCCAAGTGGACTCCCATTACATCAAAGCCACACACACGGCCGACAGGATGAGGATGCGCTCACGCGCTCTACTCGTCCTCCTCTGCTCTCTCCTCGCCGGCGCGTTCAACGCCGAGCCCTCTCCGGACCCGACGTACAAGGACTGCCACCCAGGCGACAAGGCGGCGCTGCTCGCCGTCAAGGCCGCCCTCGGGAACGCCTACCACTTCGCGTCGTGGACGCCCGACAACCCCTGCTGCGACTGGTACGACGTCACCTGCGACCACTTCACCGGCCGCGTCGTCGGCCTCGACGTCTTTCAGGACGCCAACCTCACGGGCACCATCCCCACCGCCCTGGCCAGCCTCCCACACCTGCAGGACCTCACCCTGCGCCACCTCCCGGCGCTCTCGGGCCCTATACCGCCGGCCATCGGCAAGCTCTCCAACCTCTCGAACCTTCGCATCTCCTGGACAGCCGTGTCGGGCCCCGTGCCGTCCTTCCTGGGCGCGCTCAAGAAGCTCACCTTCCTTGAGCTCTCCTTCAACTCGCTCACCGGCGCCATCCCGGCGTCGTTGGGGACCATCCCCAACCTGTCCGGCATCAACCTCAGCCGCAACCGCCTCACCGGCGCCATCCCCTCGATGTTCCTCAGCAAGTCTGCGGACCAGGTCTACCTCTGGCTGTCGCACAACAACCTCACGGGACCAGTCCCGGCCGGGTTCGCCGCCGTGAACTTTGCGCACCTCGACCTGTCGCGCAATGACCTGACCGGCGACGCGTCAGGCCTCTTTGGCCGCGGGAAGGAGTTGCAGTACATCGACCTGTCCCGCAACGCCTTCGATTTCGACCTCTCGGGCGTGGTGCTCCCGGAGCAGCTCTACTTCGTCGACGTGAGCCACAATGCCATCCATGGCAGCATCCCGGCGCAGGTCGCCAACTTGTCCAATCTGCAATTCTTCAACGTCAGCTACAACAGGCTCTGCGGCCCTATACCCACCGGCGGGAACACGGCGAGGTTCGATCTCTACAACTTTCAGCATAACAAGTGCCTCTGCGGTGCTCCACTCCCTGCATGCAAGAAATAGATAGTACAACTGTCCGCTGGACATGAAACACTCTCCGGTGAGTTTGGCAGAATAATGCTACGTATTTCTATGTCGATCAAGTCGACTAATGTCTCCCTGGATTAAGAGTTGTGCTGAAATAAATTCGAGATGGTTATGTGTGGCCGTGAAGTTGTCAGTTAGATTTAGCACTTCCTCTGCTTTAACTGTCTGACATCAAGATTCATCTGCTCTCTTTTCTTCTTCTTTATCTTTTTGCGGGAAAAGATTAATCTGCTCTGGTGTAGTGCAAAGATCCTTGATGGTTCGACCAAGGTCAAATTAGTTTCCTTTTTATACAATAGCATATGTAAGTTGACTGAATTTCCGTTAAGTAAATTTTGCATGAGAAGGGACGGTTGGAGAAGAAGAAAGACGGAGGAAAAGGACAAAAAGACTGTTGTTGGATCTTAAATCTAATGGCTTAGAAAACTGACTTTTCCAAAATTATTTTTTAGATGATGTTTAGCATGTCCATTTTCGCTAGGAAATAGTGTAGATTTCATTCCTTGATTTTTTATAAATTATTAAATCATCTCTAGTCGATCCCATAAAAGGCTATAGAGGAGTAAAACCGGCACCTAGCCAAACTCTTAAACTGTTTATGGGTGTCTATGTTTACTCGGATGCCCACCGCTCAAGTAAAAAATCTTCTCCCTTTCAATCGCACCTCACCCCCGCGTCACATCTACTCCGGCGCCTCCCTTCCGGCCTCCACCGCCACCACCGATGCTTTGTAGGACTTGCTGTGTTCCTCACCACCTAGATTTCGGCCTCTCTCATCGTCGCCGGCGCATAAATAGAAAGATATGCTACCCTTACCTTTGGCGTCAGATTCGATGCATCCAGCCGCTGGCGCCGTCACATTTTGGATGGATGCCCGCAAAGACTTTGTGTCGCATCTCAGTATGGCCTCCTCCTTTAGGTGCTCGGATGTCACTCATCAACAAACCACCGACACAGCCACGCCCAGTGGTCGTCGGCCGGGCCCGGCACTAGCCCAGCAACTCATCGGCTCCCCGTTGTCGGTCATCAAGTGTGACCACTGCCCATGGCTAGTGTTATGCGATTTTCGAACAAAACGGATATAAGGGATCCGGTAAATCTATTTTACGGTGTGGCGAGCGCTACAACGGAACAGATCCCGCAAACGCGTCTCGTAGCTAAGCGCTCGTCGCATCTTAAATTGTGTCCCATCTTAAATTGTGCATAACATCAAACAAATTGCACATTTCAATAATGCCAACCAGATGGAATCTTAATGTAAATTCAACATACGAATATATAAATGGTCTGAAAAGCAACCCACAATATAATAATAGTCTTCATTACAACAGATGTTTTGAATTCAAATAGTTATTGTAAGGGCATACTTATCCCTACGGTGTTTTGGTGATTGATGACAATGCATTTGCGGACTAATCGGGTGCTTTGAGTGTTTTCAGATATTCATTCTTCGGCACGGAACGATTATTTCCCCTCGGCGCTCTTCTCAAGACGGTGTAGTTTCCTTCGTAACTTTGTTGGTGGACTTAGTTTCGTAGTAGTCACCGTACTATCAAGAGGGGATCTGCTCCGGTATGGTTTGGGTGGAATCAACACGTACACGTCCTCATCACACCCTCCATTTGTTTCCGCCTCCTTGGAGTTTTCTTTTCTCCTCTCTTCTACTTTTCCTGGACCCAGCGGTAGTACCGCGGGCCACAGCGGTAGTACCGCTGAGGCTCACTAAGCGGCAGTACCGCTCCTTGGAGCGGTAGTACCGCTTGATGGCCTCAGCAGCAGTACCCCTGCGGATCCGTGCTCCTACCGCCTCGACTCAGCCGTTGTGCGGTAGTACGGCTGACGCTCTCTAAGCGGTAGTACCACTCCTCGGAGCGGTAGTACCGCTTGCTGGGCTCAGCCGCAGTACCGCTGTGGCTCCGTGCTCCTTCCGCTTCGATTCGAGTGCGCATTTTCTCGTGTCGGGTTTTGCGGTACTAGCTGCGGTAGTACTGGCGGTAGTACCGCCCTGTCGCCGCGGTAGTACCGCTCTGGGTCCCAGCCCAGCCCCTTCTCGTCTATGCGCGGCAGTACCGCTGAGGGGGAGCGGTAGTACCGCTGATGAGCGGTAGTACCGCTTTGCCTCCACGGTAGTACCGCTCTTCGCGGGGCTGAGTGGGGGGGTTAACGGTTGGTTTGTTCCCCCCACTATAAAAGGCAGTCTTCTTCCCCCTCTTTGACCTACCTCTTCCCCCAAGCTTCATTATTGCCAAAGCACCATTTATCGCTCAAGCTCCATTAAATACTCCAAGCTTCCTTTTGCCCGATCTATCTCCCTAGCCAATCAAACTCGTTGATTTGCTCGGGAGTGGTTGAGAAGGCTCCGATCTACACTTCCACCAAGGGATTTTTGTTTCCCCCACTCATCCTTAGCGGATCTTGTTACTCTTGGGTGTTTGAGCACCCTAGACGGTTGAGGTCGCCTCGGAGCCATATTCCATTGTGGTGAAGCTTCGTGGTCTTGTTGGGAGCCTCCGATTAAGTTGTGGAGTTTGCCCCAACCTTGTTTGTAAAGGTTCGGTCGCCGCCTTCAAGGGCACCAATAGTGGAATCACGGCATCTCGCATTGTGTGACGGCGTGAGGAGAATACGGTGGCCCTAGTGGCTTCTTGGGGAGCATTGTGCCTCCACACCGCTCCAACGGAGACGTACTTCCCCTCAAAAGGAAGGAACTTCGGTAACACATCCTCGTCTTCACCGGATCCACTCTTGGTTATCTCTTACCTTTACTTGTGCAAGCTCTTTAGTGTTTATTCCCTTGCTTGCTTGTGTGCTTGTTGTTGTTGCATCATATAAGGTGCTCACCTAGTTGCACATCTAGACAACCTACTTTGATGCAAAGATTAATTTGGTAAAGAGAAGCTAAAAAAATTGGTAGTTGCCTATTCACCCCCCCTCTAGTCAACCATATCGATCCTTTCAATTGGTATCAGAGCCTCGTCTCTTTACTAAGGACTTTACCGTCCAAAGAGTATGGTTGATACCGTAGGCGGTGTGGAGGAACACTCCGGTGTGAATCCGATCTCGTCTACGGGCAATGGGGGAACTTCGGTCTCTCGTGAGGAGTTCAATGTAGCCTTGGAGACATTGAAAACCTCCATGACGACCGAAGTCGAAAGCATGTTTACTAAATTCCTTGAGGGGCTTAAACTATCCACCGCACCGTTGAAAGTGGGGGATCCCGCCAACAAGGTGTCAGATGCTATCCCCGACAAGGGGGAAGTTAGTAGTGAAAAGGCTCCTTCCTCTAGTGGCAAGAATGGCACCGACATCTTTGCCCATGTGGAACCACCACTTGTTTATGGTGGACCGGTTCTGTCTACTCATTTGAATCATGCCGGTCCTCCTCCTAAGATTGTAAAAAATGAGGATTTTGATTTTTGGGTTTACCGCTTTAAACGTCATTTAAATCATGTGAACACTAACCTTTGGAGAATTATTGAAGAAGGTTTCTACCCACATGATCCAAGCAACTTCACTCCTCGAGAAGCCGCGGACAATCAATTCAATGAGAATGCTCTCTTCATCATTCAAGATGCAATTCCATCCGAAGACCTACCTCATCTTCGTCCCTTTGCCTTGGCCAAGGATGCATGGCATTGTGTCGTGTCTCTCTACCGAGGAAGCGCAAGCATTCAACGCTCCAACTATGAAGTGGTACAAGATGAGGCCGATGAGTTTGCAATGAAGGAAGATGAAGAACCTCGTGAGCTCTATCGGAGAGTCACCAAACTCGCGGTCTCACTACGAGATCACGGGAGCAAGGACACAGATGACAACTGGATCAAGCGCAAATTCCTCAAGGCAATGATGCCCTACCACAAGGCAATGTCCTCCGTCATTCGCCAAAGACCGGATTTCCACACTTTGACCTCAAGTGAAGTGTTGTATGAGTTTGTGGCCATGAACATTTTGGACAAGACCGCCGACAATGCGGTGCTCCGTTCTCAACGGGCAAAGAAGCCTAACCTTGCTTTGAAGGCCAAGCTCACCGTGGAAGAAGAAGAAGAGGAAGAAGAGGAGAGCAACCCCGAAGATACGAAGTATGCTTATCATGACCATATGGCACTTGCTTCAAGGCAATTTTGGAGCAAGAAAAACTCGAGGCCCAACTTTAGCAAAAACAACTCGAGTGGTACAAGGGGCAAGCAACGTGTAAGGACTTGCTACAACTGCGGCAACGTGAGTAATTTCGTTGCGGAATGCCCGTATGAGAAGAGGGAAGACAATGGTGGCAAACTTATCCGAAAGGACAAGGCCAAGTCCTTACCCAACAAGAACAACTTCACCAAGAAGACTCCTCCCAAGGCCTTGGTTGTGCAAGAAGAGTACAATGAGGATGATGACGATGATGAAGAGGATGAGTCGGTTGCCATGGCCTCCGTCGCCATTGCAACAACGTCACGAGTGTCCCTCTTCGACTCACCCAACGAGAGCATCACCGCCAAGTGCCTCATGGCTAAAGCCACCAACAAGGTAACCTCCAACATCAAAACTACCATCATTAATCATCCTTCTCCATCGGATTGCATTAGTGAAGTTGAGGGAGCTAATGTGGAGGCTAACGAGTTTGAGGCCTTTATGGGCAAACTCAAGGGAAAATCCAAGAAGCACTTTGTTGCTCTCTTGGAACAACTTGGTGAGGCCAATGACATGATCGAGGCTCACGAAGACACCATCTCGAAGATGGAAGGGCATAGTCGTGACTATGCCGATGAGATCTCGGATCTTTCCAATGCTCTTGAGGAAGAGCGTGGTCTTCGTTTGGCTCTTGAGGAGTCACACAACGTTGATCATGCTAAGTTAGAAAAGGATTATGATCATGCCCTCGTTGTTTCTCGCGTGCTAAATTCCGAGAAGGCCAAACTCGGGGTTGATCTTGCTAGACTCAAAGAGGAGTTTGATATACATGACAAGGCTCACAAGGCCTTGAAGGGTAT